CAGGCTTCCAGATGATTGACAATCTGGTGGAATCATCCCTTCTATTCATGCTTTCTGGTCTTTTTCCAATCTCTATGGCTTCTCTGATGATTCTGTGGCTGGGGTTTTCTATAGTAGCTAGGGTTTTGGTGCCATTGAAGTTAATGCTATGACCTGTGGCTTCCATGTGTTGGACTAGTGAGGAAGTGTGTTCCAGCTTTTTGACTGCATTTTTGTGTTCATCCAGGCTGGTACTTATTCTTCTATTGGTCTGTCCAATGTATGTGGCTGGGCATGATGCACAGGGGACTTCATATATGCCTTGGTTTTCCAGGTCAATTTTATCTTTGGGGTTTCTAAGGATGGCTGCTATTTTTCTGTCTGTTTTGAAGGCAGTCTTGATGTGATGTCTATGTAGTATCTTACTAATTTTGTCTGTAGTGCCTCTTATGTAGGGCAGGACAGCAGTTCCATAGGTCTGTTCATCTTCTGGGTCTCTATTATGTCTCAGTGTGTTTTTGTGGATCAAGCCAGTGATTTTGCTTTTGTGGAAGCCATTGGCTGTCAGTACTTTAGTCAGGGTGCATAGTTCAGTCTTAAAGTGTGTCTTGTCTGCCAGGTGTTTGGTTCTAGTAATTAGTGTTTTAGCCACGGAGTTTATCTGTGCTGGGTGGTGGTGGAATTGGGTGTTGAGGTAGCGGTTAGTGTGTGTTTTCTTCTGGTATATGGTGTGTCCTAGTGTGCCATCTGTTTTTTTGTAGATTAGTACATCTAGGAATGGTAGTTGTTTGTTTGTTTCTGTTTCCATGGTGAACATGATTTTGGGGTGTGTGCTGTTTAGGTGTGTTAGGAAATTGTTTAGGTTTTCTTTTTCATGGGGCCAAATCACAAATGTGTCATCGATGTATCTTAACCATAATTTGGGTTGTGGAGGGCTCTGGATTTGAATTCTTCCATGAACAGGTTTGCAATGACAGGTGACAGTGGTGATCCCCTAGGGGCTCCTTCAATTTGTTTGTATCTTTGTCCTTTGTATATGAAATATGTGTTGGTTTTTTTTTTTAAAACAAGTTTTATTGATTTTTCAAGACAAACAAAACATAACACATAGAGGTATAAAACCTCCTTTCCAAGAACTACCCATAAACTTCAACAAGACAAACAAAGCATTATTTTTTAAAACATGGTTCCACATTATCACACTTAAAGCAAAACATTGGAGAAAAAAAAAAAACCTCCTTAGTTATCATTTATACATATCTTTTCCCAATTTCTCTCCCTTTAATTTCATTTCTCCAAGATTTTATTAATTTAGAATCAAACATAGATAATCCACACACTAAACATAAAAAACTTCTTTTGAAAAGTGACTTGGCCCCAGGTTACATCTTTTTTGACAGACCTAAATCAAATTCATGCCCACCTTATATACCCTTCATATCTTATTAACCATTTTGTATTTTCTATATAACTTCTCCCATCTTTTCACTCTCTTAATTATATTTTATTTATTTCATCTTATTTCAAAGTCATTATACTTATGTCTTTTGTCCGTTCTTTACCAAACATCTATGTATCTCTTCCCTTTAACAAAAAATTTCCCCTGTAATCGCTTTTGAAGTATGACGCCTTCTCCTAAAATAAAACTTAAAATAATACATAATTTCCATTCTGATTCTGCTTAGTACCTTCTACATATTAAATCTTAAAATGAAAGAATAACAAACTTATAGTATAGTTAAATATATAATTTCTATTCTAATTCTAATTCTAATAAGTACATTGTTTTAGAATAGAAAAAATAAAATACTAAAGTTATAATAATATTAAAACACTAACAAATTAAACTTTAACTAAGCATTAATCATTTAACAAGTCTCCTAATATTTAATCAAATATCAACATCCATCATTATTAAACATTAATATTTCATTAAATATTCCAATAAACTGTTCCAAATACAAATACTACAATACTATCTTATGCACTCTTGCAGAATCTTCTTTAATTATAAGCTATCTATCATCCTTCATCTCTAAAGAAAAAACTTTTTTTAAAAAAATCTTGTCCTAACCCGTGGCTTTTTTTTTCTTTTTCCCTCCCTTTCTTCTCCAATCTGGTCTTTTTGCCCCCTCCTCTCCTCTCCCCCCTTTTAAGTTTCCCTCTCTGCTGTAATTCTCTTTTCAATTGCTTTCTAACATTGTACCTTCTTTTCATCCTATTTTTCTTTTTCTTGGTTGTTTTATTAAATCTTAAATTCTCCTTTTCCCTTCCTCCCTTCCCATTTTCTTTCTTAATCAAACTTTTTAGTCCATTAAAGATGGCTTCTTCCTTTTCTTCTTCTTCTTCTCCTTCCTCCAGTGTTTGCTGATACATAGAAACCGCCATTTCTAAAAAATGGAAGGCAGCTCCCAGAGAATCCTTGCCACTTTGTTGTCTTTCTTTTAATTTTTCATATTCCATTTTCAGTTCATCAACCGGTGGTACCATTATAAGTTTTTTTAAAAACAACAACAACAACAACAACCCAGATGCTTTCAATCTTGAAGTAATTTCCAAATGTCAGAGTTATCAAACAATCCAAACAAGCAAAACTTTTTTCCTCTTCTTCTCTTTACAGTTTTTTCTCCAGAGGCAAAATCCCAGATATATTTTAAAAGTCGTATTTCCATTAATTAATGGTCCTGTAATCTTCAAGGCGTCTCCTCCAGCAAAGTTTAGAAAAAAAAAAATTTTTTTTTTAGTCCTCCCCTTCCCACTTATAACAAAGAGCTTATTTTTACCTTTAGAGAGCAAGTTTTTCTGTGCTCCTTTGCTTTCTCCGTAGGGATGGGAAGTGAGCTTTCCTTCAGCACTTTCGCCAATGTTACAAATTCTTTTGGAAACAAATGAATCAATCCAAAGTCAGGTTTCCAGGGTGTTTTAAAAATAACATCATGTCGTGGTTTAGCCAAGAAAACTTCTCCTTCTAAGTCTTCCTCCTGCACAAACTTGTCCGGTTGAAGAATCCTTTATGGCTGCCGAGACAGCCGCTCATCTGTCTCGGGAAAAAGGAGTCTAGCCGGCTGGGGAAGGGGGGTGCGATGTCCCCAGACCCCTGCTCGGATCTCCTCTGTCTTCCGCTGCCCCTTCAGGGTAGCGACAACCCCCAAATCCAGTTGGATCGGGGGTACCTTGACGGCGAGCGCAGCAGGGACCCGCAGAGAAGCGGATTCCTGCCGCTGCTGAAACCTTACAACCGGAAGTGCCCCAAATATGTGTTGGTTAAGCAGTATTCTGTTAGTTCCATGAGGTGTTTAGCTGGTTGGTATTTATTTTTGATGATTTCAAGGGTCTTGAAATCAAACAAGCAAACAACTGTTTGCTGCTGCTGCTGCTGCTGGAAGTGGTGGCGGCAGCAGGAAAATGTGGGAAGTGTAGCGCACATGTGCTATGTTGTGACTGGGCAGGGTGGAGTGGGACGAGTGGGGGAGAATGCCATCAGGGATTGTTGCGCATGTGCACAATGACTGACTGGGCCTGGAACAGAGGAGCGGGTAGAGAGGTGTGGGGCCAGCCAGGGGCCCGTTTTCCCAGTTCTCAGAACTACCAGGAACCATAACAACTGGTTCTATTGAACCGGTGCAAACTGATAGAATCCCATCCCTGGGTAAATATAGTGTTACAAATATCCAACTAGTATTACATCCTATTGAAATTTTATAGTCTATAATGAATTGAGGAAATTTAAAAGTAATATGTACAAACCAGTGGTGATCCACAGCAGTAGTGAGACCTTTAAAACATGGGCCATTATATTTTGCACCAGGTAATATCCATTTCTCTCTGTCTCTCTGACTGTCTTTGTGTCTCCCTCTCATCTATCTATCTATCTATCTATCTATCTATCTATCTATCTATCTATCTATCTATCTATCTATCTATCTATCATCTATCATCTATTCATCCATCCATTTATAGTTCTGTCTCTTTCCTACTTGCAGTATCTATCATATATCTATCTAATTATCTTTAATTCCCATAAATTAAAACAACTGGGTAACTGTAGGCTGATTTTTAGGGCAATTGTAGGCTTATATCCAAAGCAAGAAATCGCCTCCTGACAGATTATATCCAAGAATATGTCACATTTGTCAATATACATTAGTATATAACATATACTCAATCTAACTGTGCAGTTTAAAATATTCACTTAAACAGAGTCCTTCCATGCTATGAAGTGAGGGGAAAGTGAGTCCACATAAGCATATGTTGCCTTTGCCATAATCCATATTTATAAACAGATTGCTTCAATTAAATGGCAGGCTAAAAGTGTTCCAGGGAAATGAATAAAATTAGTTTTGATAAAATAATGGTTCAAGATTTCCTGGCTAAAAGCCAGATAATCAAATCTGTAAGATCTAACTTCATCCATACACACACCCATCCAACCATTCATTCTTTATCCATTTAGTAAATTATTCCAGGCAGATGATTTTCTGGTCCTTAAGAAAAGAAAGCTTCTATCCTTTTGTTGATAAGTAACAAAGTGCAAGCTTGCAATTTATGAGACAAATAAGTAACAAGTGTGTTTTATTTGCACAGCATCTATTTATGTATTTTATCTTGTATTATAGGCCAGACACACCAATTTGCTTTCTAGTATCAGACCATATTTCTGATACTTTTCCTGTTCAATCTTACATTCCCCTTCTTCTTGGAAAGATAACGGAAAAAAAAAAATCTTTTGCAATTCTATAGGGAATCTACAATTTTAATGGATAATTGTAATTGTTCTCATGTGTTAACAAATGGCTGTAATTATGCTGTTTGTAAAAAAAAAAAAAAGAGCATTGTAGCCAAAAATTATGAACAGATCTAAGTTGATCATGAAGCCTTTAATTTTAGAATAAGTAAAAGGAATGAATATTAAATTCATAAAGTGGTGTCATCTTAGATACTTTAATAATACTGGCAGGAATTTACTTCTGCTCAGGAAAGTTATACTTAGAATAGTGATACTAATTTTCTTATCAATACTGATGCCTCAAATGATATGCAAGGATCAATGCAAATTCTATCAGCCCCAGCCTCCACCTCACAAATATCATCTATCTGGAGATTTCATGATCGGCAGCATTGTTTCTCAAATATTTATTGTCTCACCACCTGCTACATTCACAGAAGAACCTCTACCTGAATTGTTCAGTGAGATTAAGTAAGATGTTCAAAAATGTTGCACTTTTTATTTTTTTCTGGTCAAAGTGAAAAGATTTTTTGTTTTCTCTGGTTTCATATTATTTCTTCTTATTGATTCCTATGTGATATCAGGAGGAAATGGTTAGTTTACTAATTTGAAGAAATATACTTTTGTTACGTATATTAAATAGCATTTTCTGATGGTTTTGAATGATGTTCGAGATCTTATTTAGTACATCCTCATGTAAAGCAATGTTTTTATTAACATTTAAAGGAATATTCTGCTCTGAAGATCTATATGACTATATATATATATATATATATATATATATATATATATATATATATATGATTTTATTTGAGTTTTCACAAAACATAATACAAATAAAATTTCTTTTTTTTGAGAGAGAGTAGTATGGTCCCAGGTTAACACTTCTCCATACAGGCACAAATTCAATTTCATATTCACCTTTGTTTTCTATTCCATATCTTATTACTACTTTAACATTTTCTTAATAATTTTCCCTTCCCTTAATTTTCTCAATCTTACTTTTAATTATCTCATTCCTTTCTAAATTCAATTATATATATCTTTTTCTAAATTTCAATACCTTTCTCGTCATCATATTTATACTTTTGTCTATCCTGTTTCAATTTCATATTTTCTTTTCTTGTTAAACAAAAGTTTCCCCTGTAGTTATTAATTGGAGTATGACACCTTTGTATCTTTAAATTTTTATCCATTCAACTCTTATTTAAACTTCAGTTTATGCCTTTATAATTATAACATTCAATATAACACATAACTTCTGGTCGAAATCTGCTTGATACATTCTTAAAATACGCACTAAGTTCTTAAAGAGAATATATATCTATATCTGTCTATCTATCTATCTATCTATCTATCTATCTATCTATCTATCTATCTATCTATCTAAAACAATGATAAATAAAATACCTATTCTGTTCCAATTCAGCTCTATCATTAGTGATAATCTTTGACATCTTTAACATTCCTTTTCACCAGGCTATCATATTTCTAGGAACACATATAATTTTTTCATGTTTCTTTCATATTCCTCTTCACTTAAATTTTTTATAACACATTTATAATAATTAAAATGTTCCCCTCCTTTCCTAATTTCATTATCTCATTCTCTTTATTTCATTTATTTATTAAACATTCCATTCCATTACAATGAGTATTTTATCTATCATTTTAATCACACTTGTTTCATATTTTCAAAGTTCATTTCTATTTCTAATATAACAATGCTATCTTATGTACCCTTGCACAATCCCCCTTTCAATTAAGTTTTCACCCATTATCTCTGTCTTGTACATTTTCCCTGTTTCTCTATGTCCTGATTCTGTCCTTTATAATTTCTTTTTCTTTCCTTCTTCTCCCTCTTCTTCTCCCTTCCCATTTTTACCCCCCCTCTCTAATTCTGATTCTCTCTTCTGTAATCCTCTCCTCTGTTTCTTCCTAATGTTATAATTACTTTTCAAACTATTCTTTTTTTGAGTTGTTTTTTCAGATCTTAATTTTTTCACTCTCTTTCCCCCCTCCCCTTTCTTTTCCCCACATAGAAATACTTGGTCATTGAAATGGCTTCTTCTTTGTCCTGCCTTTCTTGTTCTACAGGCATTTCTTGTTGTTTCTCATAGTTCAGGATCTCCATTTCTAAAAATTGAAATACAAAGCCAAAAGAACCTCTTCCTTCTTGTACATCTTCTTTCTGTTTTTTAAGTTCCATTCTCAATTCTTCCAAGAGTGATACCATTTTCAATAATTTTAAACAACCACCCAATTGATTTTAGTCCTTAGATCCAATAGCCAAAAATCCAAAAATCACCAAGTAATTCAAATAATCCAATACTGTTTCTTTTTGCTTCTTTTTTCCACTTTCTCTTCCTGGGGTTCTGTTATCTTGTTACAAAGTTTCAGTTAAAATGTATCTTTTAGGAATCTTGTTAGGAATCAAGTTTCATCATTAATTCCTTTCACTTCCAGGTGGTCTCTTCCCTTTTTCCAGATCCCACCCTTTTGTTTTTTTCCTTCTTTTAAAAGTTTTTGAGAATCCAGAAATCTTTATTATCCCTTTGACATTCAGCTTAAATACCTGTTAATGTCAAATTGGATTTTTGCTGATTTCTTGCTTAAATCTCTTAGTTGTCAATACAGGGAAGAAAAGAAAAAAACCCAAATCCTTTCCCTTCCCTCTCTCATTCACAGTCTCAAAGTCTTCTTTGGGAACAATGTTGTTCTTTATAATTCAAATTCCATGGTACCTTGTATTGTTGTTTTTCCAGTTCGACCTGATCAGCCAAAAGCTTTATTTTCTTATCTTCCTCCTGCATATTCTTTTCCAGTCGAGTTCTTCTTTGAGGTGGCCATTTCTGACCACCGCTGCAACCACCTTTGGGAAAGGGAGTAATGGCTTGCTGGGGAGAAGAGATGTGTCTCTCTTTTGACCCTCTACGGGGTGGCTTAGCCCCAAAACCGGCCAGCTTGGGGCACTCCAGCGGCGAGCACAGATCGAAAATGTGCACAGTCACAGCTTTCAGTCTATCTCCAAAGAAGCTCAAACCAGATCTCCATGACTAGATATATTTTTGTGATGATTTTGATTTTTGCTAATCATTGTATAGTCTAAGGTTTTCTCAAGGAATGAGATCCTGAAATATAAAAATGAATAATGATAAAGACAAAGTGTTGAAAGGTGATGATATTTTTATGAAGTGTGAATTATATTTATGATACTAAATCCAACTCTTCTTTTAGCATACTGACAAACTATTATCAGCAGATCCTGGCTGTAGCATTTGCAGTAAAGGAGATCAATGAAAACCCTCAGATTTTACCGAATGTCACCTTGGCTTTCCATATTTATGACAGCTATTTAAATGCAAAATGGACTTACTATTCTACAATGCTACTTATATACACATTAGGAAGATTTGTCCCTAATTATCTGTGTGATATTCAACATAAGGTCACTGCAGTCATTGGGGGACTGGATTCTCAAACTTCCTTTGATGTGGCCACCATCTTGAGCCTCTACAAGATTCCACAGGTAGCACATATGCAAGAGAAAATGGAAATGTTCTATTTTATTTATTCTGCCTTTGTCTGTTATTCTTTAGAGGCAGAGATATATCTCTCTATGTATGTATACAGAGTGTACATAAATGTATGTATGTATCCATCCAACATAAATAGTTTAAATGATAAGGAACTGATGGAAGTAAGCATTTCTGAAGTGAAATATGTGAATTATAATTAATTTATAATTCTGGTAATGGTAAATCTATAAGATGCAGTAAGATAAATTGGATGGATAGCACACAGTTTATAATAAAAATGGTTTCGATAAGTTTTTCTGTTTAGGAAATCCAGGAAATATATACCCCTCCAGGAGATACAAATCCTAGTTTTAGAGGGTTTGCTTTGGTTTTTCATGATTATGAATGTAAGGAATTTGTACAATGGGAAAATATTAAGATATAATAAAATATCCTTAAAATATCCACCGACCTTTAGAAACAGGCCCTGTCAGAGAACAATAAAATCAGGGTACTTCACAGAATTTGAAAAAAAAAGGTGACATAATGCAATATTTAGTCTTTTGAACTTAAGCTAGACGTGGATAGTGTTTCAATATGCTCCACCAGTTGGGGGTAGAGAAATTGGGTAGACAGATTGTCCACATTTTTCCAAAAGAACTCTGCAATAATTTTGCTCCTCCTTAAATGGAAGGAACTTCTGCATTATATGTATCATTATAATTTAAGGTAAACAATTGAAAATAAGTTTCTATCAGGATTCCAAGACATTCTCACACCATAGGTAGATTCCTTGAAATGTAGAACATACATACTACATTTCACTCATGAGAATTCCACTGAGATTTTCTTCTCCATTAAAATACATTTTTGAAACAAACTACCTTTCATCAAATTTGATTACATTACAAAAGAAAAAATGGCAGGATAACTTATTTCTACAAATGTCTTTGGAACAGTTGAAACTATTATACTCATATATTGTGGTCTTTTTCTTCCCTCTTTATTTCTGATTTTAGCTCACATATGGCATTCTTCCAATGGCAACTAACAAAGCTCCAGGCTTTTTCTTCTACCAGATGGCCCCAAAAGAAGCACTTCAATATGTAGGTGTTCTTTCATTAGTTCTGCACTTTCAGTGGACATGGATTGGACTTGTTGCTATGGATGATTATAATGGAGAAACATTTATTCAAACAATGCTTCCATTGTTTTCAAAGCACTCTGTATGCTTTGCCTTTATTGAAAGACTTCCATTGGTACGTGAAGTCAAAATAGACTTAGTGTACCAAATAATAAAAGCATATTATGATATGATGAAAAACAAAGCTACTGTAATTGTGTTATATGGAGAATCTTACACCATAGCATATTTGCGATGGTTGCCATATCTAGAACTAGAAGAAGAAAAGACAAGCATGCCAATAGGTAAGGTATGGATTATGGTTGGACAGATAGACCTTGTTTCTTTTGCCTATCAGAGAGATTGGAATACAGACATACTCCATGGTGCTCTATCCTTCGCAATTCGCTCCAGTGAGTTACCGGGTTTTGAGCCATTTGTTGAGAATATAAATCCTTCCAACAAAAAAGAAAACGGTTTTATAAAGGATGTTTGGGAACATTCCTTCAAGTGTTTTCTTCCTAATACAACTATGGATAAGGTACAGAATAATATTTGCACTGGAGAAAAGATAAAGACTCTTCCTGGGACTTTGTTTGAGATGAAAATGACTGGCCACAGCTATAGCATTTACAATGCTATTTATGCTGTGGCTTATGCATTACATGCTGTAATCTCATATAGACTTAAACACAGGATAACGGTGGATAGAAGAGGACCAAAATCTCATATTCTGTTATTATGGCAGGTAATTGATTAAAACAGCTTTTCTCAACATAGTCCTTTCCAGAAATATTCAGTAGTAACACTCATAAGTCCCAGTCAGCATGACAAGATTATCTGGCTTCTAGGAGTTTCAGATGAAACATTTTTCCAGAGTGTTGATTCAAAGGAAACCAGATTAAAATGTTATTTTGATAATTTTTCCCTCTTCTCAAACTGGGACTTGTGTTGTTGAACATTTCTTCATTCTAAAGAAGATTCTTTGTCCAGGCTCCTTTTCTCTCCCCCCCCCCCTGTAATTGTGTTATGATCTGAAATTGAGTTAAGATTTGTGATTTCATTATTAGTATGCATTTATGAACCTAACCAGAGTGCAGCATCTAACTTACCTTGGTTGATATTGAAAAGCTAACTGGGTGATAACTTGGGGGAAAATAATAATAATAAAAATTGAAGATTGTGAATGGGAAATGGAAAAAGACATCTAAGGAGAAGGCAATGCAGACTTTCTGTACTATTGCCATGAAATTTAGATGGATGCCCATGAATTCATTAAGAATTAAGTCCAATTTGAAGACGTTACTTTTTCTTTACTTATACATTTGAAGACTAAGGTGCATAGAACATGATTACTTTCCCATTTTTCCACTTATTTATCTACTTGCATTTACATGGTTTCAAACTGCTAAGTTAGCAGGAACTGGAGCAAGTAATGGAAGCTCATTCCATCATGCAGTCTTTAGGTCACAAACTGCTAACCTGGTCCATAAGCCCAGCATCTTAACTGCTCAGTCACCAGACCCTTTCAAAACAAAGTATACTATCTACTATTTCTGAATTAGTTCTGTGGATATCATACAGTACAATATTATACATTATGTAAAAATAAGGTTTGTTCAGTTCAATATGGTAATGTTTCCAGTTTGCAAATATTTGTTTATCTCAGTGTGTAAGATCTAATATAGTTGTGTCCAAATGCAACCAATTTATAAATTCTTTCATTTTATTTTTCCATATAGCTCCATTATTATCTGAAAATTGTATCTTTTAACAACAGTGCTGGTGACCATATTTCTTTTGACCACAATGGGGAGTTAGTAGTGGGATTTGATGTGATCAACTGGGTCATTTCTTCAAATGAATCCTTTTACAGAGTGAAAGTTGGGTGGTTGAATCCTGGGACTGTTTCAGAACAAACTTTCACCATCAATAAGGATGCCATAAAGTGGCACAGATGGTTTAATCAGGTGAGATTAAAGCTTTCATCAAATATATATTGGGAGGTCTTTTAATCCTCAGTGAACATTTATCAAAAATCTTATTTTTTATGGGAAAAGTTAATGTAATTAAATCTGATCCAGCTGTCAGAAAATATTACCCAGCAGGTCTATATATACTTCTGCTGACTGCCGGCTGACTGCAATTTGGCAGTTCAAATCTCACTGGCTCAAGGTTGACTCAACCTTTCATCCTTCTGAGGTTTGTAAAATGAGGACCCAGATTGTTGGTGACAATATGTGTTGTTGTAAACCACATAGAGAGGGCTGTAAAGCATTGTGAAATGGTATATAAGTGCTATTGCTATATGGGAGAATATACTGTATTTAATTGGCTTTTCAAGTCTTAAGCCATACAGGATTTGTGCTATCTCAAGTATTTAGAATTACTTGAGTTAATTCAGTGTTTTAATAACAGATACCAACCATAAAGTTGCTCCCTCTCCCCAAACAGCACATCACAATAATTAGTCTTGAAGCTACTAGTAGATTGTAGTCACATTGTCCCTATTCAAAAACTGCTGGTGCTGGTAAGTTAAGTGGAGATTAAAATGCAGTCATTTTCCCTTAGATTGATAAGATTTAAAATTTCCTTTCTAAAGCAGATAAATTCTTAAGTCCAAGACAAAAGAGATAAACATTAACAGCTTTATTGTCTTGACAGGTTTCAGGCACAGTATTTAACCTCCAATCAGTTAACTACTGCATCCAGATTCTGACTTAGATCCTTCCCAACAATTACTATTTTGAAAAGATACTGAATCACCCAGGCCAACTTTCAGATGGCCACATAAACTGATATTGAACTGAATAGATCTATTGACATGATCTATTGCTTGATCAAATTTCAAAAAAATGAGTGATTTAATATCAACCATTGCATAAGAAGCATCAAAGACACAAATGAAAATTTTCAGAATTAGAAATAATTCTGTTTTCAGAATTAGAAATAAGGACTAGACTCTCCCCCTCAGATGATAAGAATTAACTTTTGAAAACTGGGTATTTCAAAAGGAATTATTTATTGAAAAGGAAGACAAGCAAGTCAACATTCAAAGCAGGATGCAGCTTCCAGGCATGCAGCTTAGATAAAGGGAGTTAGAAACCTCCCCCTTTAGTCTGATGTGGATTTCATCAATACAAAGAAGCAAATGTTAATTTCCCCACCTTTTCTGGGAACATAGTTGTTAATTCCGCCCCCCCCCCCCTTTTTGGAAACATAGTTGAGAAGAGATTCCCAGGAAGTTTCTTTCAGAGCTGGAATTTTTATGGCCCCTTCTCCTCTTGCTATCTCTCCAAGAGGTGACAAGTTTCCAGGCATCTGGGGGTTCCAGCCCACAGTTGTAAATAGTGTAAAGGTCATACAGATTCAATACAAGAATTTGGATATTCAGGTTACATCAAAAGGGATTACTTGTATCCACCCCATCCCCTTCTTCTTCCGTTGACGAATGGCAGATACACGGATCTGACAAATACTTTCTTAAAAATATTTCAGACTTTTTTTTTTTTAAAAGAATTTGTCCCTAAATATTAAATAAAGTCTCACATTTGTGTTCCTTTATACATTTGTTGAATAAATCCCCATTTAATTAGGATAAACCTGAAATTTATTGGTATGGGGTGTTGCAGTGGTTAGAGAAGTATAGTTTTACAGGCTTACTCTGATCACAGCCAGGAGTTCAATCCTGACGGCTCAAGATTGACTCAGCCTTTCATCTTTCTAAGATCAATAAAATGAGAATCCAGAGTCTTGAGGGCAATATGCTGACATTGTAAATGGCTCAGAGAGTGTTGTAAAACATTGTAAAATGGTATATACTGTAAGTCTAAGTGTTATTGCTATTGCTAATCCTGAAAGTTAATTCATGGCAATATTTTATCACAAGAATTTGTGTAATGAAATGAAGATCTAAATTTAATTATGAATATCAGGGATACAATAATTGTAAGAAACTATGAATTAATGTTATCTTGGTTGGTATAGATTTTTTGAAAATCAGAATTCATTGACTTATTGATTATGTTATTTGCTTATTTAATATTATTTGTATAGCTGCTCCTCTCAAAGAAGCGGTTAGTAGAAAATATTTTATGTTTTAGAACATAAAAACCCACAGTACAGATCAATAATAAAACTCATCTGCCAGAAAACCAATGCTGATTTTTAGAAACATTGCAATCTATCCCTAAACTGTTCCTTCAAGTCCTCCAATTTTCATAATAAGTAAGTCATTGTCTTCTCTTTCCTTTCCTCTTTCTTTCTTGGCATTAAAACCTTCTCCAGAATGCTAGCATCTTAGTGCAATGGGTCTAAGGTAAAATAATTTGAAATGATAATAATTTGAATGTACCTCAAATGAGAACTCAGGATTGGTTTGTTTAAGGACCTTTTTGTTTGTTTTTTTGATTGTCCATGGCATTCTCAAAAATCTTCTCCCACACCAAATTTCAAAACCATTGATATTTTTATATCCTGTTTCTTCACAATTCAATTTTTACTTTCATAAAGTGTCATAAGAAAAACATTTCTGATCTTGTAGGTAGAGACACAACATTGCATTTGAATAGTATTTCCAAGGCCTTCATGGCTGGTCTATCAAGTGTTAGTCTGATACATATTTCTTGAGTTCATGTTTCTCTATTGATAATGGTTGATCCTAAAAAGATGAAGACATTTACCAGTTTGATACCTTTATTGTCAATTTAATGTCATTACTTTGTGTTTTTTTAAAATTTTGGTTCCAATTTTTCACTATACTCTTTGGTTTTTATTACTTATGATGTTACTTTCTCCAATTTAAAACCTCATCTTCTTCTAGGTCAGTGGTGGCTAACCTTTTTGGGCTCCTGTGCCGAATATTGTGTGCTCACTTGCGCTAGCGTGCTTGTGTGCCAGCATCCAGAAGACAATGTGTGTGCCCCTCTATGGCCCCTGCACATGTGCATGCAATCCCCCTGTTCCCTTACCTGCACTGCACATGCACGTGACTCCCAGATGATTTTTGGCCCATTTGAGGCCTTTTTCGGCCTTCCAGAGGCTCGAGGGAAGCCTCTGCAGCCTTTGAAGGCCAAAAAATGGGCCCATTTCACCACTTGTGGTGATGAAATAGTCCTGTTTTTCAGCCTCCAAAGGCTGCAGAGGCATCCCTCGAGCCTCTGGGATGCTGAAAAGGGCCTCAAATAGGCCGAAAATCATCTGGGAGGCATGCACGTGCACAGTAAAGGTAAGTTTGGTTGGGGGTCACAGGACCACACAAATGGTTCTGCATGCCACCTGTGGCACGTGTGCCATAGGTTCACCATCACAGTTCTAGTTTGATTTAGTCTTGGTTTCATGGCATTGAATTTTACTGTGGATTTTATGCAGAGTTTTGATTAATGTATGCTGTGAATGTGTTTAGTTAATTATGAATTAAAGGGCAATAATATAGGTCACAAAATATAAGCTAGTGTCATTTGGGCTGTTGCAATTACATATGAAATTGGAATGCAGAGGTTGATTATAGTTGCATGTTATGCTCCAGTGAATGGTGACAATTGAAAAGTCAGAGATGTGTTTGCGGAAAATTGTTTAACACTCTTAATCAGAGCTACTCAGAAGATGCATTATTCCCTATGTAACACAAAAGGATGGGTGGAAATTAGAAGAGACAGTTCCAAAACCCAAATAGGTGCACTTTGCACTCATTAATTGATGGTTGGCTGAACTTAATAAAAATGCATTATGATAAAAACAGCACACCTAAGAATAAAAAGAAATGATTCAGTCTGTATAAGAATAAAGATAAGTTGTACAATATTCATTTTGGTTATTTAATATTTTTATGGATAATGTCTGGGAAATGCTTATTGTGTATTGGAGTTATGAGCAAGTAATACAGTTGTTATCAAGCAGAACCTTCATGCTATGTTGGTAACATATGAACATTTTTTCACAAGTTAAATCTTATTCTGTAGATAATAATTTTTCTTTTTCGTATATTTAGGCACAACCTCTTTCTCTATGCAGTGAGAATTGCAAACCTGGTACAAGAAAGAAAGTGAAAGAAGGCGAGCCGTTTTGTTGCTACATCTGCATCCCATGTCCTGAAGGAAAAATTTCAGAGGAGCAGGGTAAAAAGAGAGAGAGGGGAGTGGGGGAGGGAGAGAGAGAGAGAGAGAATAATTATACTATGTACACTGGTACACTGCTAATTGCTGCATATATGGGGAGGAGTTCTTTGTACAGTCATGTTTGTACCTTTAAGCAATAAAATATGCTTTTAAAAAGACTTATTTTAAAAATATGTGTTTTCTCTCTTTTATTTAAATGGAACAAGAAACTGCCTCCTCAAAATAGTCATTTAGGGTCAAACTTAAGACACATGTATCTGCAAGTTCTGTGTCATGTAGTAGTTAACCAAATACATTTAGAAAACTCTGAAGAACAATTCAAATTAAAAAATCCTGCTATTTTTCTCCCTAGCGATTGATTTTAAAGACATGGGTCAATGATTTAAGAGATAGCAAGCTGTCAAGATACTTGACATTGATTATCTAATTTTTCATGAGTTTCAAAACTGTCTATATTGGTAGTCACAGAAACATCTGATACAAACAGATTCCAAATTTAGCTATCTGTTGTGTATTGAAATCTTTTTTATTTATTATTGATGTATCTCTCTGCAACTTTTAATATTCAGAGAGGGAAAAAAGCTTCTGACGCTCTCCTATTGTGTACAATTTTATCTATCCCTATCACATCCTTCCTTATCTATCTTTGTTCTGAGTTACTATAGTTTTCCCTTGCAGAGAGTTTGTTCAGACTCCTAAGGTGATCCTATTTTGCTTCTTTTTTTAGTCCTATAATATCATTTTTACAGGTGTACTAATGAAAACTATACAGAATTAGATAAAGCTCATTATAGATTAATAATGGCATTTACAGCATCAGTGCTTTTAATCCCCTTCCCCCTGAGCTTCACCTCTTACTTGACAATCATAATGTTCTACTATGCTCAGAATAGGTTTTCCTGTTCAGATGCTGAGAGTTTAGACTCTCAGTTATATATAAAAACTCCTATGTGTTATTTTGCACTTGCACTTGTTTGTATATGTTAAATATTTTATTTTAACAATCAATTATAGTAATAAGGGATTGTCTATTCCAAAATTAACTTTATTTCTCTCACCATCTGAACCATTAACTAAAACCCATGATCCACTGAGCCTGGAAACTATGGGAAATACAGTGCAACAATAGAGTGCTGAGCTGTACCTCTGCCGAGCCATCAACTGACAATAGCAAAACCAAGTACCAAAACCAAGCACCTGGGCAGGAGTAATTGATCAGACAAAGAACATGTTCAGTCACTCTTTCCTGCACCCCAAAATAAGCTGCCCAGATATCAAGCACACAACAGAAGACAAGTCAACAGACATTTGGAAGGACAATTAAGATTGACTTGTTGAGACACACTAGAAAATTCATGTAGGCAACCCACATTCCTCCAAGTCCACATTGGACCAGCCCATACCCCATAAGCCCCATCAGTGCCTCTTTTCAAAATCTTAGAACCTCATTTTTCTCTCTGTAGCTACAAATTCCTTTACTGTTGGGAAATCAACCGATCAACCTCTTTTCCATCAGAAATGTGCCTCATGTCTTATTTGCCTGCATTTTCCCAGTTCAAAGAAAGGGACCCAGGAAAATTCTTTCAACATCTTTTAATTGGCATTTATAATGTTGTCTTATGCTCAGAATAGGTTTTCCTAATCAGATGCTTAGATCAAAAATATTCTATGCAAAACTGTCTTTCAAGGCCATATGTGTTATTTTACATTTCTTTATATATGTTCAATTTTATGGTATATTCATCTAGATTTGAGAGATCACCTAACAATCCTTTTATTGCTGTCAGAATAGCCTAGCAGGCCTATCAAATGTGCTGACTTCTTTGTTGTTGCTTTTTAAATACTTAACAATTGAAAATGGAATGTGTCCTCTTAGTCTATCACTCCTCAATAAATTTATAAACTTTTAGTAAAGGCTTTTTGAAAGTTCAAGGCTTTAAATTGTCCCTTTAAAAAATCTAGAATTAGCTCAAGATTATTCAGTAACCTGTTCACCATGTGAAATAATTTTCAATGTTGAAACAAAAGCTGTTTTTGCTCATTTGTGATGATAATAGTAGTGTATATTTACTAACTATGTAAAACAATTCCATATTTCAGATATGAATGATTGCTACAACTGCGAAGCTGAAAAATATCCAAGCAAGAGTCAAGATTTCTGTATTCCTAAAACTGTAACCTACTTATCTTATGAGGAATATATGGGGATCACTTTAGCTTTCCTTGCCCTTTTATTTTCTTTGGTGACAGCTTTGATGCTTGGAACATTTATAAAACATCACAACACTCCCATTGTCAAGGCCAATAATAGGAACCTCACCTACATTCTCCTTTTGTCTCTTCTGCTGTGTTTTCTTACTGCGCTATTGTTCATTGGCTGCCCCCAGAAGGTGACATGTCTCTTCCGACAAATTACTTTTGGCATTGTGTTCTCAGTGGCTCTTTCTTGTCTGCTGGCCAAAACAATCACTGTGGTTTTGGCATTCATGGTCACGAAACCAGGATCTAGGTTGAGAAAGTTGGTGGGAAAGAAACTGGCCAATTCTATTGTAATTTCCTGTTCTCTCATTCAAATACACATTTGTGCCATATGGTTGATAAACTCTCCTTCATTCCCAAATGCTGACATCCATTCAATGTCTAAAAAAATTGTATTGGAATGTGATGAAGGGTCTGCACTCATGTTTTACTGTGTGTTGGGCTACCTGGGCTTCTTGGCTATTGCCTGTTTCACAGTGGCTTTTTTTGCCAGAAAGTTACCTGATAGTTTCAATGAAGCAAAGTTCATCACTTTCAGCATGTTGGTCTTCTGTAGTGTTTGGTTAGCCTTTGTTCCTTCCTATCTGAGCTCCACGGGAAAATACTCAGTAGCTGTGGAGGCGTTTTCTATTTTATCTTCCAGTGCTGGAATGCTAGGTTGCATTTTTCTCCCCAAATTTTACATTATTGTTCTGAGGCCTCAAATAAACCACAGGGACATGCTAAGAAGAATATGAAAGAAATACTGACTTTTAGAAATACAATTGTCATTTTGAAGAGATCTCAATTTATAGGATTGTTAATTCCATAAATAATTATTCCAGCCACGTATTAATTGAAGGTTCAAAATAATCATAAATTTAGTTATTTTATGGCAGAATTCTACAAATGAGTTTGCTTGCTTTTAAATTTTTGGCTTGCATGAACTGTTTCTCAGCAAAAGTAATCACACTGTATTTGTATTTCTTCCCTGACTGATTATTTAAGTAATTAATCTCATTTACTTGGCTCTAATAAGCATCAACAAAAATAGGAGAATGGAGAAATAAGGAACTGCAGAAATTAAACTAGTATTAGGCTTCCTTTGGAATACATACTTCACAGAATTTAAATATACTTAATAAATCTATGGCTGTCCACTACTATCACTGGAATATTCTGGATGTTTACACCATAATTGTTCCTATCATTTCTTTACATGCATCAAAACAGCTCTTCTTTGAATAATTACATTAATAGGTACAAACTACAGGAAACGTTCCGTGGTCCTTAGATTCATTACTTCAAGAGTGACTAATGTTGTAGGTTGATTGTTCATTATGTTTAAAATTTACTTGGGTTTTATATTTTTGTCTTTGACCATATTGCATTCTGTCTAGAATTTGCCTAGATTTGGTCTGGTTATAAATATTGTAAAGTAATAAATTATAAAAATATTATTATTTATTTGTCTCACTTCTCTCTCTCTCTCTCTCCCTCTCCCTCCCTCCCCCTCCCTCTCTCCCTCCAACACTAGATTTATTTCCTGTTACATGAATCAGAAAAGAGTGGAAAAATTCTAAATCAATAGCAAGATTGGGTAAGGACCAATTATTGGAACTGCAGTTAAAGAGAAATCAATTGGCCACATTGGCGAATGTTGGTCTTGATTACTGCAATATCTTCCAGACTGGTTTGTTCCTGACAGAATTATTTTTGAAGCATCTGGACTTTTGAAGAATAATTTCTGAGCTCAGGTCAAAACAATGGTGCTTACCTATAAAAATACAAACATGCCAAACCATTTTATTCCTTTTTTGGAGTGAAGATTGAGATTAATGATGGAGGCTTTTCTAACTGGGATGCAGTGGTGGGATTCAATTTTTTTACTACCGGTTCTGTGGGTGTGGCTTGGTGAATGTGGCAAAGAAAGGATACTGTAAAATCTTCAGTCAGAGGTGGTATCTTCTGGTTCTCTGAACTACTCAAAATTTCCACTACCGGTTCTCCAGAATTGGTCAGAACTTGCTGAATACCACCTCTGCTGAGATGTCACAATTAGTGATATCCTTCTTAAGGAAGAGCACAGATTATCAGTACTCTTTTGTTTTTCATATTTATTAAATCAAGTATTTTAAGAATTGATATTTATTTTCTTAGAATTCTTTTAAAAAGCACAATCAATTTCTAAAATAGTTGATATATTGCATTTGAAAGACTCTGAAAAAAATGTCATCATTTATAGAGAGGTTGGAGGAGTAGAAGATACTGTAGCTCTTTAAATAAATATATTTTTCTGCAGTCATACAGTAGTTTTCTTTCAACTATGTTAAGAATGCAAGTTTAAGTATACTGCTACAGTTTATTAAATATTACTATTTTCTCTCTCTTTCTTCTCTCTGGTAGACAGTTATAGACTTCAGGATAGGCAGAAACATTTGTCACTTCATTGTCTAAGCATGCACTCAACCACATGAACCTTATATGTGAGCTCAAAAAGATGTGATTTAGGAGGACCATGCCTTTTTCTTCCCATTCTTTCTTTCTTTTTTGAAACTCTACCATAAAAACAATCTGTTGGACATTTTGTATTTATAACTTCTGATCCCTTCTGCTTTGGATTTTTGATAGTCTCATATCACAACACAGATAAAGATCTATTGTTCCTCTTATCACATCTCCTGACATGACCAGACTAATCAGATGCTTACATCCATTCAGTTTTCAAAAAACAAAAACAAAAACACCCTCACTTTAGGATTCTTATCCTTTGAATTCGATTACTGTCCAGCCATAGTCTCTTTCTGAAAGCATTTTATCAACTGTATTTATCCTCAGCACATTACCCACAATCAGATGTTAAAAGGAACAAATATTTGCCTAGTATATAAACTGTCAGAACAACTTTGATATTCAATGAGAAAAAAAAGAGTAGTGTGATCCTATAGATCTTTCAGCCCCTGCTCATATTAACTTTCTAGTAAAACTATCAAAGTTGGGATGTAATGTATTTTTTATTTTTTATTTTTTTTTATTTCCTATGTGCTGGCCAAAACCATGATAGAGATCCTGGTTTTCATAACAACCAAGCCAGGAAGGAAGATGAAGCAGCAAGTAGGAAAAGGACTGACTTATTCTATATTTTAATATGGCTTCTTAATTCAAGTTGGTATTTTTATTATGTAGTTGTTCATTTTTTATTGCAATCTATCTGCACATCAAGACACCCGATGACTGTGGAGATTGTTTCAGTTATCCTCAAGTGCTGGGCTGAAGATAGTATCTGTTCCCCCATATGTTACATTATTATTTGGATATCAGAGCTGAACAATCTATGAAAATTATTTTGGGCACAAATTTAGTAGTTTTGGCCATTTATTAAAGTATCAGTGACTAAAGTGCATATGGTTTTGGAGGATCTTGGAGAATTTGAAGTGGTGTTCAAGAAAATACCAAGAAAAATTTGTCTATGTTAAATTTCTCTCAAGGAGAATTTAATCATAGTATTTCTAAAAATATATTGAACTCTTAATGAAAATGAAGACAAGATGAACAAGTTAACCAGAAGTTAAGTTGTTAGCAACAAGTTAACAAGAAGAATTAAGCTTCTTCATTGGTAATAATGTACTGCTAACTAGCGCATACAAAACATTTGCTAGCCCAATTTTCAAACAGAGTTCATTTGTTTGGAATCAGCACTGCATATCAGACATTCAAACAATTGAGACAATCCAGAGATGTTTCATGAGAAGAGTCCTTGTAACAGCATACCTTATACCACAAGACTTGAAATTTTCAGTTTAGACAACTTAGAACTATGCCACCTTCGATCTGACCTAAGCATAGTACATAAAATTATCTGCTAGAATATCCTACCTGTCAATGACTACTTCAGCTTTAACCACAACAACACACAAGCACACAATCTTTTGCCACTTGCAATATTTGCGTTTTAATGGCTTTCTTCATAAATCTAATGTGAACTTCTCTTGGTAAGCTATTTCTCATCGCATATCTTGTGAAAACTCGATAAACCTCATCTATTCCATCTATCATCTTCTCCTGAGTTATTTCCAAAGCTTCAGCCAGTATTTCTATCATTATCTCAGCTAGATGTTGTCCTTTTTCTTCCTCTACATTTTGGAATCTGAGATAGAATTCTGATCTATCCATCTCCCATCTCAACACACCACTTTTATCTTGTTCAACCACTGATCTATTATCTAATCTATTATCAATATCTCCAATCTTCTTGTCTCTTTGTTTATCTTCTTCTTCAATTTTTTGGAATTTCTCATCATACTTCAACATCATTTGTTGGATGTTCTCCACTTTTTCATTGGTTTTCCCTGTTCTTTGTTCAATGTTCTCTGTTCTTTGTTCAATGTTCTCTGTTCTTTGTTCAATGTTCTCTATTCTCTTTTCAATATTCTCTGATCTTGCTTGAATATTTTGAATTCCTTGCATAATCATCTGCAGAGTCACTTTTTCTTATTCTTTTTCTTACTTTAACATTGTCTGTATTGAACCAGATGGTAGGGAGGAAGAAGTAGAAGTTGAAGAACCAGAAGCTGTAAATTTCCTACTCATTTTAAGCAATTCAAAATCTTCAGGTTCTTCTAAACCTTAATCCATTGTGAAGTAACCAATTATAGTTCAAAATAAAAATAGTAGAAAAAAGAAGCCCAATAATAATAATAATAAAGAAAAAAAGGGGGGGAGGACAAAATTTCTTCAGGTTCTTGTATACCTTAATCCAATCAATAGTTAGATGAAGAAAAAGACTTAAGAAAAAAAAGGAAAAAAAGGAAAAGGAAAAATTCTTCAGGTTCTTCAACACCTTAATCCAATTAAAAGGTCTCAAATAGAAAAAAGTGCATAAAAATAAACCAGAAAGGTAGATGAAAAAACAAAAATACCAGGAAAGTGGGGGGGGAAAGGCTTTTAAGGCTTTCCCTTTAAAATAAAAAGCAAACGTAGAGATTGGACTTCCAAAAAAAAAAAAAAAAAAGAAAGAAAGAAAGAAAGAAAAACAAAGACAAGCTCCAACAAAGCCAAAAAGTCAAATAGTTATTACAAAAAAAAAAAGATAAAAAAAATACAATAAAGCTGGTGAGGTGGGATAGCACAACTTAGGAAAAGTAAAATGGGGACACTGCACTTCATTTGATTATCCAAGGCTCTTATTATAACTCACTTCTCCAAAAACTTATCACCTTTTTTCCCCTTACGTTTCCACACCAGACTCCAGCTGTTGATAGAAACCCAGAAGAGCACCTACAATAATACTCTCCCATGCTCCTCCCTCTATCTTATCAAATAGCAATGTCCTTGAAAAAGAGTCTCAGTTCTTTCTTTCTCAGCTTTGTTTGGTCTCAGGGAAATAGAATATTTTCAAGCCTCTAGTTGGCAGTGTTACAAAGTTTCTTTGCTCTCACTTTCCCCCTCCTTTTCCGAGCAAGATATAATAAGAATTAATTAAAAAAAGAAAAAGATATTTTTTTTAAATGAAATAACTAAAGGGAGCCTCTAGCCTAAAATATTACAAAATCAAAAAGGAGAAGAAAAAAATAGATATAAACAAAAAAACCAGTTCAGTTTCAAAATACAAGATCATATATAGAAAATCCAGCAATGAGAAAAACAAAACAAAACATTACCTTGACATTCCTGTTTAAAATCGCCGCTTAATCACTTCTGTCAAAACTTTTACAGATTATTTCTTTTCCTTAGGGTGTCCTTTCAGATCTTAGAATAA